ATCGCACAACTCATGATATCTAGCTAATAGTTAGCAAATAGATCTCTACATCGCATCCCGAACAATCTATGGTCTCGCATGCGAAGGAAAGGCACCAGCATTCTTAGCTCTCACTGATAAGCGTGGTGTTCCCGTTTTCGCCCTTGGTCTATCCTCGTTGTTTGGCCTCCTAGCCTTCATGAACGTCTCAGATGACTCCAAGATCGTCTTTGGCTACTTCGTCAACTTGGTCACGATATTCGGTATCCTCACATGGATCTCCATCCTCGTAACTCATATCTGTTTCGTCCGCGCCCGCCGTGCCCAAGGAATCGCAGACGATCAACTGGCCTACACCGCGCCATTCGGAATCTGGGGATCTTACGGAGCCCTCGTCTCCTGCTCCATCATTGCCATCTTCAAGAACTTCAACGTGTTTACGTACAGCAAGGCTTACGGCGCATTCGACTACAAGAACTTCATCACTGGGTATCTTGGTATCCCGTTGTACCTTATCATGATTTTTGGGTATAAGTTTTGTTTCCGCAACTCTGGAATCCCGGCTTCCAAAGCGGATCTATTCACCGGGAAGGACAAGATTGATCGTGAAGAGGAGGAGTTCTTAAGACGGAAAGCGCTCAAGGGTCTTGACCATGGCGGTTTGTTCTATAGAACTTTTATTGCTTGGTTGTTTTAGATGCTTGTTTTTTATTTTTTTATTTTTTTTATTTTTAAATTTCCTATCACATCTGCGTTGCTTTTTTGCTATCTCGGCATATGACCTGTATGCGTTGAGAAATGGAAATGGTGCCATGTTCCTTCCTTCCTGTTATGTCTACGGCACAGTAAAGTGGGTTCTCTCGGGTCTGTTTACGACACTTTAGTGGAACGTATTCTGGGAAATTGGGCGACTGCGGGGGGATAGTCATGATCTCCTACATGGAATATCACTCACATGATTTGCTCCTTTTCAGCTGAAAAAGTTGATAGTCCAGACGATAGGATCCAGCATGAGAGAAGGCTTTTTGTTTGATTCCTTCTAAACACCCGCCAAGGGCCCCGCTTTATATACTACGCTTTCAGGCTATTATTTGGAATAGTCTATCAGCATCGTCTGTACCCTTCTTCTGTGC